CACTGCTAGATGATTGAGAACAGTCTCTCTGTGTTGTCCTTATCGTCTTTTCTTTCTTTCTCTTTCTTTTATGTTCTCCTCATTTTCTTTGGAATCCCATGGCTGCCAAAAACTACCTCGTTGCTACCTTTTTCTGCCTCTTTTTATTGCCACCATACCTCCCCTAATATAAATTAGGTTAGGTTAAGAGGGAGTGATCTGTGGGCTGATAAAGCCCACCTTGGACTGAATATGAGCTGCCAACCCAACCCACCCTAACCCCCACCCCCCACCACCCCCCCCCCCCCCCAAAAGGCATGCTTCAAGGCTCAATTCTCCTTATTAGCCTCTCATTAAATTGTTCCTCTATAGCACAAAAGAGACACTCGTTGGGTTTTCCAACTCATATGTCTTAGGCATGTTCGGCCTTGCGTCTTCATAGTAACAAATTTATCTTAGCGTGGGTGAGATTTCTCGACTCATATATCTCAGACACATTAGGCCATACATCTCCATCGTAGCAAATTTATCTTGATGGCCTCGGACACATTTGTCCCTGCACCTCCGTTGTAGTAAATTTATCTTGATGCAAGTTGGTTTCCCGACTCACACGCCTCATGCACGTTTGGCCCTGCACCTCCACTATAGTGGAGTTATCTTGGTGCAGGTTGGGTTTCCTGACTCATACGCCATGGACACACTGCGCCTCCATTATAGCGGATTTATCTTGGCATTAGTTAAATTTCTTGACTCACATGACTCAGGCACATTTGGCCCTGCATCTTTGTTGTAGTGGATTTATCTTAGTATCGGTCGAGTTTCTTAACTTAGACTCCTTGAGCACATTTGGCCCTATGCCTTCGCCATAATAGATTTATCTTGATGTGCATTAAGTTTCCTAACTCACACATTAGGCACGTTTGGCTCGATGCTTCTACCGTAGCGAATTTATCTTAGCACAGGTTGGGTTTCTCGACTCACATGCTCAAACATGTTTGGCCCTGCGCCTCTACCATAGTGGATTTATTTTGATGATGGTCGAGTTTTCCGATTCACATGCCTCGAGCACGTTCGAGTTTCCCGATTGACATGCCTCAAGTACGTTTGGCCTTGTACCTCTACCGTAGTAGATAATCTTGGCACAAGTTGGGATTCTTGACTCATATGCTTTGAGTACATTTGACCTTGTGCCTTCACCGTAGTAGATTTATCTTAATGTAGGGTGGGTTTCGTAACTCACACATCTCGAGTATGTTTGGCCCTGTACCTCCACTGTAACAGATTTATCTTTGCGTGAGTTCAGTTTCTTGACTCACATGCCTCGAGCACATTTGGTCCTATGCCTTTGTTATAATGAATTTATCTTGACATAGTTCAGATTTCCTAACTCACATGCCTCGAGCACATTTGGCTCTACGCCTCCGTCGTAGCATATTAATCTTAGCATGGTTCGAGTTGTAGATTCGCATGCCTCGGGCACGTTTGGCCCTACGCCTATGCTATAGTATTTTTATCTTGGTGCGGGTCGGGTTTCCAGACTCACACGCCTCGGGCATGTTTGGCCTTGTGCCTTTGTCATAATGGATCTATCTTAACACGGGTCGGATTTCCCCGACTCATGCCTAGAGCATGTTTGGCCTTGCACCTCTACTATACTAATTTTATTTTCTTTCCGTCGTGGTGGATTTTTGGATCTTTCCACTGTAGTGAGCCTTGAGTTCTCGATCTGCCATAGCGAGTTTTGAGTTCTCGATCTGCCATGGCGAGTTTTTAGTTCTTGGTCTGTCATTGTGGGTTTTGAGTACTCTCTCCATCATGGTAGATTTTGGATTTGCCTCCAAAGAGGCACTTGTCTTGATCGCATGAGGAGAGAGATCGACTTCCTCCTTATAAATCCTCTCCCCTCATAGGGTGAGATTCATTTCTCCATGAGGGATGGACCTTCATGGACCTTCTCGGGCCCGTCCCACTAGCCTCAAGACAACACCAATTTATGATAGTTAGGGTAGACTATTTCACAAAGTGGATCAAGGTTAAACCCCTTGTGTCCATCACTAAGAGGCAATTCGAAAGGTTTGTGTGGAGAAATATCATCAACCTATTCGATATTCCGAGAGCCATTATCACCAATAAGGACCTAGTTCAATAATAGCAAGTTTGAGGAATCTTGTCAATCTTTTGACATTTAGTTGAGGTTTAGCTCAGTGCCCACCTATTATCATTCAGTTTGGTGTTTGGCACGAAGGTCGTCTTGCCCCCTGAGATGTTATTCCTCACCCCTCAAGTCAAAACATTGTTTGGGCTTTTGTACAAGGTTGTACCTCATTAACATTGTTTGGGCCGAGGTGCATTTGAAGGTGCTCAATTATAGAAAGGTCATTGCCCAACCCTACAACTAGATTGTTTGGCCTTGAGGGATTGGTTTTGATGATATTATCCTTCAAAAGGCTGAGAAGATCAGCTACCTAATGCACCCCTAAGGAAAGTTAGCTCCCAATTGGGAAGAACCCTATCGAGTTTTTAAGGTGGTCCAAGATGGGACCTATTGGCTTAGGACGATGGAAGGAGTTGCTCCCACGAACATGACATATATCTGATTTCATGAAGTCCTAACCTTAATGCGAGGGGCCCGGTATAGGCGGGCTAACCGAGGTACTATATTGCGGCATTGTATCGTTAAGTAACTTATAAAATTTTTATTCTACATTTCTACAAACTTGTAAAAGGAAATATATTTCATGAAATAGAATTACATTATATGAGTCAAGTATTACATTTGTGTCAAAAATTACCCGACTCTATCAAAATAGCAAAAAAGTACATATTACTCAACTAGGTGCAAGACATTATTTGAGGGAAAGCATTCGCTGAGGGGCGAGTATCGATCAAGGAGGGATTGGGAGTAGGCACCCTGAGGATCTCGCACTAAGAGGAGACTCTAGGTCATTATTGAAGGGAACCTCTAATGGCTTCGACACATCCTTATCCTTCGAGTGGTCTATAAAGGGGTTCTCAACCTTGACCCATGGATGTCTCACCTTGAATCAGGCTAAGGCAAGGGGGTACCCATACTTGAAGGTTGCCTCTCGCAATCAAAGTATGCTCTCAACTATTTTAGCCTCCCTCTTTAGTGGTAGAGTTACCTCGAACACGAGTTGCTCGACCAACTTGATGATCGGAATGTCTCGCTCCCAAACCTATCGATCCCGGTCCTTAAGCTACTCCTTTAGTTCCTTTATTACCACTTGGTGTTGGAGCAACTTGTCCTCTTTGGTGAGATTGTTGTCGCCCATGAAGTGTCGGTTCAATAGAGTTGCTTGACCTGTTTGTTCCTCTTTGGTGAGATTGCCGTCGAGCTCGACCACCTACTTCTCTAATCAAGAGATGACCTATAGGTTGGTCATCTCCCTTAACTTAGTATTCTCGATTAGAAGTCCATCAATCTCCTCATTCTAGTTGGAGATGATGGCTCTTGAGTTGTGGACTTGGTCTACTAATCCTATAAAGTAATGGCTATGATTTGATAGAGGATCATATAAGAGAAAATCATTTAAGATGGTATAGACATATGCTGAGGAGATCTCCAAATACGGTAGTAGAAGATGTGAAATAATTAATGTTAATAGTAGAAGGAAAGATAGAAAAAAATCTAAAAGGACTTTAATAAAAACTATACATAAATATATAAGTACTTTAAACTTAACTAGACATATAACTTTTTACATATTTCAATGGTAATAAAAAATCTATATAGCTAACCCCAAATAGTTGAGACTTACGACTTTATTATTACTATTATTATTATAAAATTAGAATAAATTAGTATTATTATTATTAAAAATATTGAGCAATATATATATATATATATATATA